TTTTTCTCTAATTTTGGTCTGCAAACTTAGGTTGTTAACCATCCAGAAGACAAGCTTATTGTTATTATCAAACAATTTAGGTTATTAAGCTTAACCTCACTATCTCTCTGCATTTCAAACTTCTTAGGCATAATAAGTGTCCTACACACACGCATGCATGCACACACACACACACACACACACACACACACACACACACACAGCAGTGGTTCAGGTGATCAGAAGCCCGTGTCTCCAAGAGAACAGGCAGAGTCAACACAGTGCCCAGCAGAGCAGGTCCCTGCTTGAGGACTTCCTCAAGGAGTCATTCTGCCAACACAGCCATTGGACAGAACCCCTTTAAGCTTACAAAGTCAAGGGTTCTGCTGTCAACTACCCTCTGGACCATCCTCATCTAGTTCTTCTCTCTTGGGGTCCCATAGACCCTGGCCTACCCAGGTAGTCTTCTACATCAGATTTCACTTAATTTTCTAAAAGTAACAGTTAATCAAAGACAAGTGGTTTTTGTCATGAAATAGAAAGCATTTAGCTGCTTTTAGCTCTGTATTGGAGAGCTGGTGCACTAGCAGAGACTCAAGTCTGTGTGCACTGACAAAAAAAATGATCTTCATCTTGGGCTTGTGAAAGTTACTGGTGTCATTTGGAGAAATACCAGTAAATACACTGGAGGTTATGGTCCAGTAGCAGTAGGGAAGTGACTCCCAGCCTCACCCTGACCTCTCACCACAGCATGCATCTGCTGCAGCCAGGGGAGGGGAGCAGCAGCAGTAAAGAGCAGAGCATAGGCCCATCAGTGTACTGACTGAGAAGGCAGAAAGCTGGGGGTGGGGCCCAAGGTAAGCATGTGTGAGCCTGTCTTTTACTTGCAGCCAGGAGCCAATGTCACACATTAGCAGATGTTCCTTTAGTCAAGGATATGATGAGAGAAGGTAAAAGGGGTGAATGAATGTGGCCTCAGGTTTACTAATAGGGAAACCATGAGTCTCAAACTCCTGAGGCCTCAGCAAGGTCTCCATACCTTTGGGAAAAACCACAGCCTAAGAGTTCCTTACAGAGAAGCAAACATGTAGAAAGTAGTCCTAGATATAATTTATTTATTACCATGACCTTAGCACTCCAAGCTTACACAGAGCATCAAGGGAGGGCCAGGTTTGCAGTGAGAAGAGTTTTCTCTACATGCAAGCCAATGTGATGACCTCCTCCAGGACCAGTAGGTTTCAAGGCCCAAGCGGCCTCCTACCCATTGAGCTGCCTGGCATTCCTAATGGTACCATGCAAGATGGGGGTGAGTATCATAGGTACATGTGCAACAGAGAGGGCTCTGAGTACAGGGCTGGACATTGTGCTGAAATAGAAATGGATGCACAAGTGTTGACCTAATGCGCAGGCAGGGACATAGCTCAAAATCATGCTGCATACATGGCAAGTGCATGGTCCTGAGTTTGATTCCTGGTACAAAAAAATCAGGCACGTAGATGGTAGTGACAATGGGGCGAGGAGGACTCAGGCACCTGGTCCACTGGCAAAGTCACAGCCTGCCTGGCAGGGAGTGTACTAATGCACAGGGAGGCTGAGATGCACTTCCTCTTGCCCTCGTACAGTGAAACAGTGGGAACTGCCTCAAGATGCTGCAATTAGAACCTAAGCCAGACAGCCAAGGAGGTTTTTGGCCCCTGAGGTTGCATCTGAGGGAACATTATCAATGACTCCTTTGTGGTGTAGTCTGAAGCAGCGGACCTCAAAGTGTGATTGCATGGCCAGTAGAAGCAGCACCTTAGGAACTGTTAGACAGTTTCTCTGGAAAAGCCCCTAGGGGCTTGGTACCAGCAATTTCTGGGTACCAGCAAATTAAAGAACCACTGTAGTGCCTGATCACTGTCATCTTCAGTGGACATGACTGCCACCCAGAGGCCACACAGAGTACTGCTCTTCTTGTCCAGTCTTTTTCCCAGCCCCCAAGAGGCCTGTGTGTAGGCAGACTGTGTGCAAGGTTGGTAGTGGTGTAGGTGCTGAAAGTAACCATTCCAATTCATTCTCCCTACTCACATACCTGAGGGAGTCTCTGAGTGACACACTCCAGGGCCAAACCCCAGAGCCCAGCAATGGAGTGGGGATGATGGGGAGGGGGGCAGAAAAAATCTTTATCTGAAATCACAGTGTCCACACTAGTACCTAAGATTCTTTCTCTAACCAGGCCCGTACTTGCTCTAACCCTGCCAAGGCTGATGGTGCTCAGGGCAGGATTCTGTTAATTCTGTTCCCAGTCAGGCTGGCTGACCCAACCTTTGGGGGGCTAGGGCTAATGAGTCAGGTGTACTCACTTGCCTTGCCTTGGTAACAAGACTGTGCAAGTGGTACCTGCCTGTCATCTCTGTCCCCCATGTCCCAGGGAATGCATGGAGGTCCCCACCCCAGGCCATAAGAAGCTTGATTTCTACCTATCCACTGCTACTTCCCTGGGCATCTGCAAAAAGAGCTTGGTTCTAGCCAGGCATCTCTCCTCTGCTGTCTGGGAGTTGTGGTGGTTTGGGACAATCTGCTGGGATCCCAGGAAGTTTGAGAGTAACTAGATAATCAAGTTCTACCATTTCCCTTGGCTATGGTATAGGCTGGGCCTGCTGGTGAGCCTTTTTTCTTTTAAATGAATTTCCCTTGGCAACCCCTGGCCTTCTACAGACAGATGAGAGAAGCCAACCCAGATTCCAGGGACCACATGGAGGGCCCCTCCATCCTCATGGCTACTTTCTTCTGTAAAGATATGGCTTCTGGGCCACTCACTGCTGTGTTGGTTACAGCAGTGGGTATGGAAGAGGACACCTTCCCTAGGACTGAACTAGGTCAGGTGGGGCAAGGTGTGACCTCTCTTGGCTTTACCTCAGCACAGCATGGTGTCATCACTCATGTGGTGAGGGTAAAATCATCCCCACCCTGAGAAGTGTGGGATGTAAGAAAGATGGAAGCCAGGAGTGGGTTTCTCACATTATGTGCTGCCCAAGAAACAGGAGGATGCCCACGTTCTGAGTGAACACCTACTCTATCCTTGTGTTCTAGTGTTTTCCTTCTGTTCTCTCACAGCATTTGGGAAGGCCCTTCTTTCTTCAGTGATATAGAACAGCCAAAGGAAAGGAAAGTGACCACTCTGGGACGGTAGAAAAGGAAGTAGAGTAGGGACCATTGGACCATGTGGTGGCCACATGGTTAGGGAGAGAGCACCCTAGGAAAAGCAGGGAGCAGAGGCTCCTCCACCCAAAGCTCTTCCTTATCAGAGATGCTTTCATGACTTTGCAGGTAGGGACTTTGTCTACTTGGGAAGGATTTTTACATCTAGTAGCACTTATAACAGCAATCTTGAGAATCTTGCCTTGAACTAGGTAATCTTTAGGGGAAGGTATCAGTGGGCACTCAGGCCATGTCTATGGGACACATATATAGGGGTCTGTCCCTGGTGTGCCATATGCGGCTATGGCTAACTTGGTCCCTGCTCCTACCTGGAAGTTCAGACTTCACTGACATAGAAGAATCTCAGAAGACACTCAACAGGCAGATCACTGCTCTCCAGGTGAGAGGGCGTGGGCAAATACAAGGGTTTGCTTGGGCCCACCCTCCCTACCTCACCATGGTGCTGCTCTAAGGGCAGAGCAGGTGAGGGCTAATTGTACATGCTTATCAGTGCAGCAATCCCTCAGGCACCCTGTTTTCAGCCCTACATTCCAGGTTCTAGTGTTGGGAGGAAGTCAAGAATCCTGGCCTCATCCTTCTGTAGTCCATTGTTACACACTCTGGGGAAAGGGTCTGGCTGTCTTCCAGCAGGGTCATCTCTGCTCAGGACCAGGGCAGAGAGTATAAAGAAGTAGGAGGTCTCTGTCTGGCTTAGGTACTTAGGCTTGCAGGTGGAGCCTGTGGCCCTAGTTGATCTGGGGCTGGGTCTTCAGATCTGGTACACATAGTGTGGGCTGTGGGACTGATCCTGTGAGGACAGTCAAAAGGGAACAGAGTTGTGCTTTAATAAAAATGCTGCTGGAGCTTCTGATGCAAGTAACACTTGAAAATCATCCCACAGATCTGCAAGTGGAGAAGAGCAGAGCAAAGAGAAATCAGAACCCTCAGGCTGCTGGCTGTAAGACCTGAAAAGGTTAATGGGGCCTGCTGCTCGGAAGTGGGGCCTGCCTCCCTCCCTGCTCTGTGCTGTCACTTGTGGGGGGGTGACACCTTAGGCTCTGCTGTCCAGTGGTGTGATTTTTGCCCTAATGATACAGATCCTTTGAGGCCTTGCTACCCAGAACCCTGAAATTCTGCAGGCCCAGGTGGGGGCCTGAGGTTTGCATTTTTCACAAGCTCCCCTTTGATGTTGCAGGTCTGCAGTCCAAGGTCTTCTCTGAGACAGTCTGGGTTAATAGGATCCTGGACAGTGGTATTTCCATTCTCCCAGAAGAGGCATCTGAAGCACCTTTCTTTAGAATGAATCTGCCTGTATCCCGCTGCTTTCAGACTCCAGAGTAAAACTAAGGTCCAGACTGCTGCTCTCACTGATGTTCAGAAGTCACTGGGGAAGTGAACACAGGGAGAGCACCTGGAGCTGTCACTAGCACATTCTGTAAATATCTTGGGATGCAGACCTATGCCCTTTGCAGACCTGTGTGAGAGCCCTGCCCTCAAATCCAGCAGCTATGCATAAGGGGCCTCTGTACACATGCTTGGGAAAATTACTTTCTGCCTCGGTTGATTCCCTTCCCACTGCCTATGGTCCCTTCTACTTCCTCTTGTTCTCCTTGCTTCTATTCAAGGATGCACAGGACACAAGAAGGGGAGGTGGTGAAGAGAGAGCTCCCACACTGACGGCAGATTCTGTGAATGACACACACATGCTGGATCTCAGTTCTGCTGAAGAAAAGGGCCCTGCACACAGCAGGCCTGTTACTATCTCATAGTGTTGTAAGCAGGCAAATGAGTTAGATAAAAACATTGTAAAGTGTCAGACAAGGCCAGGCCCTCAGAAAGCCAATATGAAAGCCCAGATACCTCACAACTATGAGAGATTCATGTCCACTTGCTACTTGGTTTGATGCCCCATTTGGTCCTGGATTTAATCAATTTTACCTGAGCAACTGTACTTGTAATCTTATTGGTGGACCATAGTTTCATTCCACCTCATGCTCACCTAACAATCCTATTGTGGGCCAAACCTCAAGACAGAAGATCAAACAAATGCAAACCTCCCTAAAGATAAGCACTCAGGACTGATATTCTAAATAGATCTCTCTCACCTTGAGGAAGCCTAGAAGAGTCACTCACCCATTCCCCTAAAGGAAAAGTCCTTGCTCTACATTCATGTCCACTTGCTACTTGGTTTGATTCCCCATTTGGTCCTGGATTTAATCAATTTTACCTGAGCAACTGTACTTGTAATCTTATTGGTGGACCATAGTTTCATTCCACCTCATGCCCACCTAACAAATTCCTGTTTTCCACCATAGACCTGCCTCACCTCATGGTTTTGCTCTACAAAAATCCCAGGAAAAGAAAAATACCAGGGCAACCCCCTCAGGTCCCTTCTGTCCCTCTCTTGGACAGGAGCTTTCTTCCCCCAATAAACATATTCTATTCTTAACCTCTGTTGTTATTAAAATTCATTCTTTTGTTTTAGAAGACATGAACTCATCCCAGGTATCTTTCAGGTTGAGAGTTTCATTCCCCTATATCAATAGCACAGGGGTAAATGTGGATTTCTCTAAAAATGGGGAAAATTTCTTGACTTCTCCTAACTTTTCTCATGGGCCAGACTTTGGCAGTATCCACAGCCACCAGTGTCCACAGCCCCAGCCAGAGAGGAGGCCAGATCAATGGGGTGTGCATAACCATGAGGTGGCTGCTTGATCCTGCAGGTCATGGTAGACAGCCTGTCTTTTCTTTCCTCCTTCTCTCCGTGTCAAGCAACGCAGAGTAGAGCAGACACTGATTGCAGCTTCCAGTGCTCAGCCTCTGTGTTAGAGCAGTGCTCATCTACCTGGGCCCTTGGGCCACAAGCCCCATGGCTTAAGAGGATATCTCTTCTTTGCTGGCTTTCAGTGGGTATTTGTCAGTCGTTCCACTGAGATGTTGCACAATATACTCTTGATCCCACTTTACACCTCGGTAACTTCCTTAGAAGTGGTCTGCATCTTTCTGATGTGTATGAAGGGGGAAGCTAGGAAAATACTGCTAGACTTGAGCACAGTGTGAGCTGTGTCCACATCTCCAGTGAACACCATAACCAGGGGCCTTCACATTCTTGAATGGGGTGCATTGCCAGTGGCCTCTTAGGACAAGTACAGTAAGGGCAGAGTGGTGTAAGCACTCTGAGTGTGTGTCCATGCTTATGAACAAATGCTGAACATAATCCCCTCCTTGAACCATGCAGAGGGGTATGGAACACTCCTCCCAAGGTAAGCACATAAGCACTCACGTACATGCACACACTTCTCATGCTGAAGCATGCAGAAGGATAAAGAATGATTTCACTCATGTGTGCATATGAACACACACAGGTGCACACATATGTACATATCCTCCCCTTCCCTGAAGTTGTACCAAGGTAAGGTGTACCATTAATGGGTCTCCCTTGGCACTGAAAAGTCAGCATAAGCAGCCCCAAGCAGCCGGCAGGGGTGAACAGGGACAACACAGGATAAGACCACTCCAACCACTGGACAGGTAGAAGCAAGCTAGGCCAGGGAGCATGGCTCTCCTAGGAAGCTGGCATAATACTCAGCCCTGGGCAGGGCACTGTAACAGGGGTCTAATGTGTACTGCTGCTCCACTCCTCAATCCTCGGATGTCTCTGAGTTGTTGGCACCTGGCTGTCATCAGGTGACCCACTGAAAGTGTTAGAGTTGGAAACTATTCTCAAATGATTCACCTGTTTCCCTGACAATAACCTTCAGACCTCAAAATGAAAGACTATCTGTGAGTCTTGCCTCAGAGGCCTACTTGCACTGTACAGTAAGGGATGTAGTGTGATGAGCTAGATTCTGTTACAAGTACACAGCAGTGGGCTTGACAGGCTGGGGGAATTACATCCCTTTCTGAGCCTCACATCTTCACTCCATCAGTAGAAAAACATATAGTATTTCCCTGGTCCATAACCTGTCCTGGTGAGACATTCTAACAATAAGAAAGACCACACTCACATCCCTCTTGCAGCCTGTGTGAGGCTGGCAGAGCCCTGACCTCCCAGGGTCCTGTCGGTGAAGCCCCTGCTCCCTGCCAGCTACTCCTGTGTACAAGCCACCTCTTGCCCCAGCTTGCTTTCATTCTGCCACTTCCTGTCAGACTCTTTCAGGGATCCACACATCTCACTTCCCTCCAGAAGACCCCCACCGACCCTTGTGGCTGGCTTGGGCTTTCTACAATTGTTCTAGCAAACTCTAGGTCTCTCTCTGTCCGTGTGCCTAGGACTGTGCAGTGACTGGCAGGGGTTGCCTTCTTTCTGCTCAACTTGGACATAGTACCTGGTATACAGCAGGGCCAGCTTCAAAATCGATACAGAATATATCCTTGAGCTCCTCCATGGGAGTTGCCTACTTCCTAATTGTGTAAGGAGAACAATAGGAAAAGATAGCTGAACTCTTGTAATATTTTTAGTAAAAAGTTAGCTAGACAAAATACTTGGAAGTCTCTCTAAAGTTTCCTAAATAGAGTACTTTCAGAGTTCACATCAAAAAGGGAACCTTTTGATGAGAGAAGAGTACCAAGTGTCATTATTGTGGCTGGCTCTGACATTGGGGCAGTATGACCTTAGAAGTCTCTGTCCTCTTCACCAGGGAAGCTTACAAAACACCTTACACCTAAAAATAGAAGAAAAGGGAGCTCCTTTTCCTGCATTCATCACCAACCTAATAATTCCCATAGTTAAGCTTAGGAGGTAGCAATACTACAGGCAGCAGGTTCTAGACACCAGCTACAAAAATGGGAGATGGTTTGATGATGTAGAGTGTGCCTAAGGAGAGTCACATGGAGAGAAAACATTTTCTCAGGCTTTCACAGAGAGCACATTGGCCAAGCAATGGCTGTGACTCATCCACATGGCTGACACTGACAAAGGATCTACAATCTGAGGTACAGGATCTCAGGATAAATCTGAGGGGATTTCACTGACCTTATCAGACTCAAAAGCTACAACTCTTGTTGCATAGGTCCTGCTTTAACTTGGTCTTAACCATCCAGCATAAAAGTACAAAAACGAAGTATAAGAAGTAAAGCCATGGTGTTATGTTGAGCTGTAGGCGACTCAGGTCAACAATTTCTGACAATGCCAGTGAAGCGGAAGACCCAATACTATTATGGACTACCGGACTCTTTTAGAATATTTTGCTGAGTTTAACACACCTATAATATTCAACTGATGGAACTAAAAAAGGGGTATACAGATGAATGTCCATTTTGTATCTGTGTATTCAAAATGGTTAGGATAGATATATGGTTACATTCTCTTAATAAATAGAGAGATTTGTTCTAATAATGTTTGTAAATAGGATATCATGTTTGCATCTTGTACAGCAAATAACCACTAGGAAGAGAAAAAAATGGGAGACATCTGGAGCATCTGCCCCTTTAACTACTGGGAACTTGAGTTATCAAGGACTCTTCTTCCTTCCTTTTCCCTCTGCCCTTCTGCTTGTTCTGTTGCTACTGTTCATGATCTTCAATAAACATAACTACTACTGTGTAACTACTACTCATATGAGGCATGCACTTGACAATTTTTTCCTTGTCCTGCACAAGAACTGTGATGATTTTTTTGCTCATTCAACTTTAATACAATGGCCTTGGCCAGAGAATCTAGGGAACCTGGACCTCAACAATGGTATTTTAAGCATTGGATTCTCATGCACAGTAGAGCCTTTAGATCTGAGGGATCTATGGACTAGGCTTGTCTACAGACCCATGACCCATCCAGACTGGCAGAGGAAGCTGGAGAAGTCCAGAGGCCCTGCTGGGTAGAAAAGCCAAACTCCCTAAGGATGCCACTTCAGAGTGTAGGGGGTGTTCTGCTTAGCAACCTCTGCAAGAGCCATTCTAGGCTCAGTTCCACTGTGACAGCAGTCTCCAGTCTGTCCCCTATTTCCTTACCTGTGTTCTAGAAGTACCTCCAGGAAAAGTCCACTTTGTCATCAACCTAAGGTACTGGTTATCAGGTGGGTGTCTAACCAAAACTCAGAGGGTGCTGCAGCCAGAAGCTTCCTGGGACAAAAAGCCAACTCCAGAGCTCCACAGCATGGTTGAACCTATCGTAGTTGGACTTTGAGGTGGGGGAGGAACAGCTGCCAGGCCCTGCAGCTCTGCCTCAGGTGGTTAATGGTCCAGCACCTATTGTGAGATTTCCATTGAGAAGCAGATCCTGCTGCTCCACAAAAGGCTTCTCCCCCAAGCCATTCAAAAAAAGGAACTGAAGAGAGAATGGAAATATAGCTTTTACAAGTGCAAAGGGACCAAGAGTTGGCAGGAGCAAGGGCCAGGGTGTATTGTGTTCTTTGCACAGTGCTGACTCCCTGACAAATACAGGTGTTATGTATTGAAGGCATGGGCTAATAAAAAATAAGTAAACACTAAAAATGGCTTTAAAAAATTGAGCCTCTCCATTCTACAAGTAAGGAAATGGAGGGGAAGTGTGATGTCCCCACCTTCACCCAAGGGCAAAGCTCTGGTTGGGAATCCAGGCCCTCTGTCTCCAAAGCAAGGCTTCCTCCTGTTCCCATGGACTGGGAGGCCCCTCTGAGGCTGCGGCTGACCTCCGCCAGCTCCGGGACAGCTTAGTGCCCGGCCATGGCCGGCAGAGGGAGCTCTAACCCAGGCTTGGTTGCTGCAAGGCCTGTTCTGTGTGCTACAGGAGAGAAAACAGCAGTGGGGCCAAGTGAAGCCCGATCCTGGAGGCCCCAGGTCCGCTTCAGGGTGACCTGCGCTCCTGATGTCAGACCCCACGCGGGCGACCTGTACCACCTTGACCTTGGGCTCAGGGTGCTTGGAGCCCTACTTCCTGGCCTGGAGTTCTTGACCTTTAGCTATTGCTTCTGCAGATAGAAGGGCCAGAGAAGAATAGATGGAGCAAACCAGGCCCAGCTAGTCCAGAGAAATGGGTTTCTGGCCACTTCACCTGAGGCAGGAGCTGTAGCAGAGAGCAGAGTGACTCCTCTGGTTCCATGGGCAACAGGTTTCTTCAGCAGGGAACAGCTGGGGGTTGTTCTGCAGGACAATCTGCCCATGGATAAATAATGAAAATGATGTGTGTCCCTGAGTGAACACCGGCTCCCTGCTTGGATTTTGCAGAGTAAAGCAGGTGATTACATGGGCTGAGGTGGGCTGACCAAGGTATAATGAGTCCCTTTGCGAGTAACAGGCTCAGAGATGAAACAACTGGCTGTAGTTACACAGCTCAAGGTTGACAGGATCAAGATGGGTCTCTCTCCAGAGGCTGTGGATCCTCTTCCCCACATGAGAGGCTGCAGCTGAACCCTGTGGGCCTTAGACTCATGTGGGTGGAGCCACACCTTTGGGAGCAACCCGTGCACTGAAGTCTGTCCAAGATGGGGGACACATCCAATCTGATGTCTCTTTTTCCACAGACCTCTGTGTGGGGATGAGGAGTTTGGGAAAGTAAAGATCCATAGCCAGGGCACCCTGGCTTAGCTGCTGCCAGACCTGATGTGAGGGCTGCCATGGAGGAAACTAGTCAAATCCCAGAGCCTCAGCCCCTGGCTCAGTGAGGTGGCCAGAAAACCATTTCTCTGGACTCTGGTCCCTCTGTCTGAAGAAGCAGTAGCTACTCAGGAGCCAACCCAGTGTGTGACTCTGGATGAGTCATCTTTTTGCCTCTCAAATTTCTGAGCATGTGCTGGGTCCCAGACAAATACAGGCATTATGTACTGCAATCACAGGCTAGTAAAAAATAAGTAAGTAAACACTGAAAACACTAAAACTGACTAAAAAGTATTCAGCCTCTCCATTCTACAAGTAAGGAAATGGTGGGGGGGAATGTGACCTCCCCTACCTTCACCCAAAGGCAAAGCTCTGGTCTGGAATAAAAGGGGGCAGCATGCCTCCCTAATTGGCCTGGGTCTCTTCTGCCATAAAGCTCCAAAGAAAAGCAGCATCTAAAATTCACAGAGAGCTCAAAGAAGTTCCTCCTGACTGTGGCTTTCACAATGGGCACACTGCACATCACACTCTTATGTAGGCCTCATGAAGTTCGGAAATGACCCACTTCTTACAGATGAAGAAGTGAAAGGACAGGGGTGAGATATAGTTGCTCAAGGCCACACAAGAGCAGAGCTAGCACCGGGCTCTTGTGTCTTACAGTCTCTGCTTTCCCCATATACTGCTTATTGCACCTGAGCTAGGGGTGCCAGGAAGTTTGCAAGACACTGAGCCGCAGCTACAGGAACAGCCCCCATGCAGCTCCTGCCAGGGGGACTCCCCTTGCTGTGTGTGTAGCCCCTATAGTTCTCAGCTGACTCCTGGGTGGGGTTCTTAGACAGTGGTTGGGGGAGAGTGTGGAGGGAAGAAATAGGAGCCAAGTGTATTGCTAATCCTCTGGAGAGAGTTGGGTGCAAGAGTGCGTGCACACACACATACTTACACAAAGGGTGCATGCACTGGCACCCCCAAACACATGTGTGTGCCTTCACTAAGCCAATTAGACCCAGATGCATGCAAATACTCCAGGATCCACCCATACCACCACCCAGGTTGCACACACCAATACTCTGCATGTGTACAAGGTGCATGCACAGACCTGTACCCATGTTCACACTCCTCCTAGACCCCTGATATTCACAGTTCAAGTTGTTTACTGTTACCTGGGGAGACTGACCATGGGGATGCAGCTGGAGTTGTGCAGGGAAGGAGTGAGAAGCAGGCAGGGCCATATGACTTCATTTGCTGCAAGAGGGGCTTCAGGAGTTTCCAGACACTCCTGTCTTGTTCCCCAACCCAACTCACCCACATATAGGCCACCTTAATGCCCACTGCCCCTAAGCGCAGCAGATGGTCAGCTGGGAACTGCTCCAACTTGGTGATGCAGCCTCCCTGAAAGAGCTGTGGGTCACACGTGCCTTGACCAGGGGCGGCTGAGGATAGTGGGAAGGACTATATCCTGTGTGTCCTGCTGAGGCCTCAAGAGGCCAGGGATCAAAGGGCCTGTGTCCAGTCTTTGCAGTAGTGCCAGGCTTGTTGGGGGCCCCCATGGGGTGTCATGGTGTCTGATGACCTCCCAGAGAGCCGCTTGTTCCCTATCTCTGAAAAAACCCTCTGGAGCCCTGGGCGCTATGTGCTTCAGTTTTCCACCCCCAACCACCTGACCTGGCCCCCATGAGAGACCAGGAATTTACCTCTACCTTAAAAATATTGGAGGGATGCACCCACTGGCCATAGAGTGCCACCACCATCTTACAGCAGCTTTCAGACCCCTGGTGATGTGGGGCCTCCTGGGATGGGATGTCGAAGCTGTGCTGCCAGTTAGGTGAGCTGTTGCCCCCACAGCACTTGAAGTGGAGGGAGGGTAGGGAGCTGAGGTGAGGGACCTGCATGGGCCTTTCCCTAGAAGGTCACAGCATACACCCAGTTACCTCATGTTCTGGGTTCTGCTTTTCCCTATTGTAAGCACCCTTATCTGCAGGTGATGACACCCACTCACAGCCTTGAATAGCCACTGGGGCGAATTGATCAGGAATCCTAGGGCCTTGTTAGATGGGCTGGCAGATGGATTCTGGATCCTACTGGAGCAGGGTTGTGAGCCAATGGTTCTGCATAGCCTGGGCCTCAGGCAGGGACAAGCACACAAGGGTGATGTCTTCTAGCCACCTGGGAGGCAGTACCTGGGATAAGGATCCAGCCTGGGCACTGAAGTTACCTGGGTGTCCAAGTGGACAATAAAGCCTCAGAGACCTCAGACTGCAGGGGCACCAGAAATGTTCCAGAATCAAGTTTGTGGGCTAATCAGCATGGAGCCCAGGGGCTGGTGTGAGTGTCTGCAGCACCCCAGGCACGGTGGAGAAACACCAGCCTGATAGATGCTAGTTCAGAGTGGACCTTCCTCACAGAGGAAGTAGGTATCCTTCAAGCAGCTCTTTCTTTATTGTTGTATAGGAGGAAAGATGACAGAACCCTATTGATGGCTAAGACGAGGAAAGGCCTGGAAGTTCTACCTGTAACCTTCCCCCACCCCTCCACTTGTCAGGAGCTCCAGCCCAGCACTGACTCCACTGTGTTGCCCACTCTACACCCCCTTTTGAGTGAGGCCCTGGGCAGGACCTGTCCTGTTGGCTGCGTGCCTTAGTTCTCACATGTGCACCTGAGTGGGTCCTGGGATGGTGTTGCACAGGTGGGCCTCCCACTGTGCCCCAAGCATGCTTGCTGAGAAGTGACCCCTCTATGATGCCCATTAGAAGCTGAGCTTGTATCTGGGGATGATGGGAACTCAGAACCACTGACTTCTCTTTCCTGTCCCTGCTTGAAACTTCCAGGCACTGATTGAGGAAGAGGGAGGGGACAATAAGAAAGGGGAACTCAAAAAGAACAGGGAAAGCTGCTGGAATTTCCTTACACGAATTGATAGGATAATAGAGCATGCTGTCCATCAGAACTTTCTGTGAGGAAGAAAAACATCCTGTATCTGTGGTGTCCACATATGGTTTCACAGCACACAAATTGTGCCTGGGGTGACAGTGGGATTGAAGTTCACACTTCATCTAATTTTGAGTGGACATTCACAGATAGATTGGGGTCTCTGCAAGGACAACACAACCTGTCCCCTATATTTAGTGAATACTGTGGGCCTCACTAGAGCAATCTGCTTATCCTCTTTGGACAGCAGTCACTGCCTGTCCTGTGCACCCTGCTTGACGGCCCACACTCCAAATTCTGAGGTCCCTTTTCTGAGCTCTGGCTGCCTGCCGGAGCTTTCTCCTCTGTTCCTTGGACCCTGGTGATTCATGATGGAGGAATAAGCTCTTCTGACAATCCCAGCTTTCCCCCCCTGGGAGACCAGAATGGCTGAATGGGGAAGGAAGAGCTGGAGGCGATTCTGGAGAGCCACAGTGCAGGTGCAGACAGAGGAAGGTGGAACAAGGGAACAGGCTTCTGGGGAGACTTTCATGGTGATGGGGTCGTCTAAGATGCCAACACTGTTACCACTCTAATACACTTATGTTAGGGGTGCAATGAAATCTCAGAGAGCGTTAGGAGCTTGCCTGGAGCCACACAGATGGGAAGGGGAAGGGACAGAGGCAGAATGTGACCCGAGTCTGTGGTGACTTACATCCTGCTACAGATGATCCACTGAGGCAGTGACCCAGCAGCCCTGGACTTCCCATAGTTCTCTGCCAAAGTGCAGTTCAGGTGCTGCTTCCCATCATTCCTCAGCTGTTGGCGGAGGAGCACAGGTGAGCCCCACCGCTGCTGCTCTAGATCTGCAGGATCTGTGTGATACTGTCGTGAAGGAAAGGGTCTCAGGGTGTCCCGAGGAGGCAGTGGGGATGAGGGCCAAAGTGTCCTGGAAGGAACCCTGAGGGATTGGGGAGGGGACAGCTCATATTTTATGGGCAGTGGGCTGCACACAGGCTGCTTTCTGTAGCTGTGGATTTGCACTTTGATTATGAGGTGATATTCCTAATACTGATAGTGGGTGCCCTTTTGGGTCCCAAGAGACACTGGCTCCCTACAGTTACACTGTCTCCCCCAGCTCAACATCACCTTCAGGTCCCCAATCCAGAATTCTCTGGGGTGGGAGGGAACCAGGCTGATCGCTTCTTCTTCATCCAGTTCAAGCATGCAAGGCCAGTGCCTGTCTTTCCAGCCTGGCATTTCTCCCTGGCCCACAACTCCCTTCAGATGCTGTGATGGACAGCTTTGTCCTCTGCTTCTCCTTGGAAGTGACAAGGATGGCCCCAGTTCCATGAGAAGATCCCTCCCTGATTCTCATGTGGATACCTCAGCCAACAGATGGAGTAGAACTGCTGGCACCAGGACAGGAAGGTGGCACCGTGAGTCCATTGAGATGGTGCCACCCTGTGTGTGTCTGCTTCAGCTTGCCCTGCACTCTGAGCCCCAGCCCCTTCCACTCACTGTCTGGTAGTGCCATAGGTAAGGACCTCCCCCACCAGTTCCATGAGAAAAATGACAAGCATCAAGCAGAAGTACTAGGAGCAAAGACAGAATAGGGTCACTGCCAGGGATTAGGGTGATAAAAATTTGCACAAAGAGAGGAGTGGGACCTGTCAGTGACCCTTCACTCCTGCCATCCTCCTCGAACACATGCAGGACACGTCCAGAGCCTGATGTCTGCAGAAAGCATGGGGCTCTTGTGTTCAGAGTGGGTGGGTGGGTGGGTGGGCACTATAAGCACAGGTCAGGAGGAAGCAGAGGCAGAGGTGCCGGCATGGTGGCTGGTGTGCTATCTTCTAACCAGGTGATCACTTTGTACCTTTCCTGGCCCCGTAGGGCCATCCTCCTGCTGTGCACCTTACCTGGCTCTCTCTGTGCTCTTCGCTGCAGCCTTGGTGGCAGCCAGCTTCCAGGCCATGTCCTCAGTGGGGTTGGAAAAGGATAGGCCCTGCCCCCCGTCACATGCCTTTGCCCTGGCAGTGAGGCTGCTAGGCACCATTGTGTCCTTGGAGGAACCAACAGATCAGGCCCACATGGACTAGAAGGAGACAGGGAGAAGTGCCAAGAAGGCTAGGATGGGGAAAAGGGAAAAAGGAGAGCCACTCAGAAGCACTTGTCCCCCAGACTTCTCAGGGTATGGCTCAGCACTGGTCACATGAGGGACCTTGCTCACCAGGATTACTGGACTCTAGGGAGGCCCAAGCTGTAGATGAAAGCTGAACCTTCAGGCTCCGAGGCAGGGGATTCCTCCTTATGAAACCATGAGCCAAAGAAATCTTTCTTTCAAGGTGTCACTTTGAGTACTCTGCTACCATGTCAGAAAGCTAACACACATGGGAACAGGCCTGAACTATCATCCCAGCCCCTGATGCGAACAGGACAAAGGGAGGTCCCTGGCTTTCTTTCTTTCCCTACTCTGGACTTACACTGCCCCAGGAGAGGCTTCAGCCTGTGTGTCCATGTTCTGATTATCCCTCCCAAGGATTAAGGATTTTTTGGCTAAAAAAGTAGAGCGGGTTTGGGCCCCATCACTGTAGTCCCACACCAGTGGCAGGACACTTGTGGGCTATGTGTGGAAGTCTGAGCCATCTGGACTGGGGACTGAAGACCCTGGTTAGCAGGATTGGGGTCTGGAGTGGGGGACAAGTTCCACTTCCTTGGCCTTTTGGACTCTTCTGCCACTTGCTGAGGGCTCAGGATGGTCCTGAATTCAGTAGAAGCTAAGGTGGAAGCCTCACAAAATGGTGTATGATTATATCTCTCCATCCTCAGGGATGGGGCTGAAGACCCACATAGACTGGCAGTGAGGCAATGTCAGTCAATGCCTGCTGACCTTGGTCAGTGGCCACTATGCCTGGTATAAGTTAGAAATGTGCAAGGATAGCAGGACCAGCAAGGGCCTTCATGACTCCTGTGTATTGGACACAGGCTGGAGGACCATCCCCAGTGGCCCCAACTGTGGGACACACCATCATTTCTTTGACAGTGGGTGATGATAGCACTGTCACTCCCGTCTACTCCTATGACAGGGGCACTTGCTTCACAGTGTTCTGCCTCCTCCCTCCAGAGCTTGGACCAAGACTGAGAGCAGCACAGCACTTGGGGGCCAGAGGCAGGCACCATCATCCCAGGCTGGTACACAGCCCTCCTGGAGCTGGCCAGCCCATCAGGTAGAACATGGCCACACTGTGGTCCCTTCAGTGACTCCTTCCACTGTGTCACACTCAAAGCTCTGGGAGACACTGGGCCCAAAGCTTCTTTCCACCATCTCCAACCCCCATTGGTCCTGACATAAAGGTCTCCTGTTGGAGGCCATTAACCGGTATCCATTCTATTCCCCTGCTGAGTCAAGTTTATGGCCCTTCTCACCTTGCCCATTCCCTGTGAATCACGTGCTATGCCCTAAGGGTTGCACCCTCCCCGTTGCCTAGATACCTGCTGACCTCAAGAGCCGAGACTTCCTCATTCCATCACCCCCTATATATCTATACCCAGAACCTCCCCTAAATAAATGAGGCTTGATCAGAATCTTTGTCTTGCCTCCATTTCTCGCATCTCCTGTCCTTTGTCCCCTCTTCAATTCCCCGCTCCTCCCCCAGGTGACCTTCGTTGACGAACCCGCTGGTTCGGGACAGTCTCCCCAGTACCCTTGGGCATGTACTTGGGCACCTCCTATGTGTAAGACAGAGGAAGAGATGATGGAGTGCCCATGGCTATGTGGGGTGAACTGGCTGCTGGTAGCTAGGAAGCAGCACCACATCACCTGTCTTTCCTTTTCTGTCAGTGGCATCAGCTCTGAGTCATATGTGGATGCTATCCTGAGATATGTCTTGCTGTTCCCCTGGGGATAGCACTGCTACAGTTGTGACTGCACACAGGTGAAGAAGAAGACAATGAGAAATCACATCCTTGATGTCGCAGCAGGCTGAGTTCATTGGGCTTCTCAGGGACTCAGGCATCGAACTGACTCTCGGGAGCATCCACTGGGCTGTGTAACTAACATGACTGTCAGTGGCAGGGGTGTTCTGGTGTTGTACAGGGTCACCCATCCAAGTAGTACGGAGCTCCAGCCTGTAAAGGTGGGCCAGGCTGGGCATGGAGGGAGTCAAGCAGTTTCTGAGACAGGAGGCTGCAGTGACTTGTGTGGTGGGTGAGCCCCTGAGTCACAACTCAAGGGGTGACAGCTCCTAAGAGGCAGGCAGAGAGCTGTGCTTGTGGGGCTCCTCTGGCTAGGAAGACCCTGGCAGCCCTGGCCATGGGGCAGCTGCTGCATTTTTGGTTGATGCTACTTTTACCCACATGTGACTATAGGCTCTAACAAAGGCTCAACTCTGCCCTTTCACCTTCTCTTGCCCTGGGGCCAGCCAGACTGCCTGAGAGGCCCCATGGCACAGCTACTGCCTGTACAAATCTGAGGAGCACTGCTCTCTGTCCTGCATTCAGTCCTCTCATCCAGCACAGTGTGTGCAGCCTTCAGTATCCTCTGTCCCAGATCCCCCTGCATGGAGTTCTGGTATCTACTGTACCTTTTAGTGTCCATCTCAGTCCTGACACCACTAGGCCATCCCGGGTGGACAGTTAATGCCAACCCCTCTCTGAATGCCCACAGCACTTCTGTCAAAGGGATGAGCATGAGACAGAGTCTGTTGGATGCAAAGAAATAACACATACACCAGCAGATACTTTAAGCTGCACAATTAAATTTAGAAGTGTAAAAGCAAACAAGAAACCTGTTAAAAAGGTTAAGTATGCTAACTTAATTGATGACTTCTACTGTGTCCCAGCTGGACAGAGAGTAAGTCTCAAACACAGAGTAAACTGATTGCCTTTACTCAGCCTGCTGAAAAACTGATGAGCTTTAGACTCTACATAACAAAGCCTAAGCTCTAACTGCTTACTCCAAACCCAGCAGGCCACCTGTGATAGGGCATCCTGCCAATAAACAAGTTTCTGCTCTCTACTTACCTGTAGAAGTCCAAGACAAAGAAAACACTCCCTGCTTCTATTTTCTGGGACCGCTCAAAGTAACTACTCTTCTTGTATTTCAAATCAACACTTCTCCTTTTCCCACCTTTCTTCCCACAGTTTCATTCTTTGAGTTCACGAGACAAAGGACTCTGTGTACACTCACACACCCTAGCCGACCGCCCATCTCACCTGTTCGTTGCTCACTCCTTCCCACAGACTCAGCCTGCCTCTGCTTGCCCCACTGCTCCTCTGATGGGTCCCCCTGAAGGACAATATGACTGCTCTGTCTTGGCTACTTTGCTGCATGTGTTTACCACCTGTCCCTCCAGGGTGACTGTGGGTTTCTAAGAAACAGGGGGCATCTATATCCTGGCTTCTTCTAGCTCCTGCACTCTGTCTAGGATGGTGCCGGATGTAGAAGCCCATTTGAGAATACCCTAATTTTGATGGACCATATTTTCTTACACAGTGTACTTGCACCACAAGAACTGTGTCGGGCAGCAGCTCCATCTCTTCTGTTCCAGGGAGACTCAGAACTCTCACCTTAGGTTTAAATGGTGTTTCTCAGCTTGTCATGGTTTTACCCTAGGAGGTCACTGGCAATGCAGGGAGACATTATTTCTTGTCACAGCCAGAAGGGATAGATCAGGGTGCTGCTGGCCAATGCATGGGACAGTTCCTACAACACAGGCTTTTTGGACCTGCAGCTTCAGTGAGCCCTGGTTGATGCATGAACCTTCACATTTGAAGGCTGATGCAGCCCTCTGAGTTGTATATGTGTCCCTGTGGATTATAGGAGATACAGAAAGAAGATCCAAGAAATGTTGACTTCTGAAAAACCTAAACTTGGTGCATAGGGCTAGAGAGATAGCTCAGCAGTCTAAATGTCTGCCTGGCAAACACAAGGACCTGGGTTTGATCCTTGGTACTGCACGCCATGCCAGCCCCAGGCCATGCCAGCCACTGAAATCAGGTGTGGTGGCACACTCCTGTAATCCCAGCGCTGGAGAGGCCAAGACAGGAGGATCACTAAAAGTCCAAGCTGCAGAGTGAGACCCTGTATCAGGTAAATCTTTTAAAAAAGAAAAAAAAAAAAAAACCTGATGCACAGAGGGGTTTTACTATGTGCCTGCCTTGGGAGGGCTCTTTTGTGACCTAAAGTTATTCACCTTGGCCCAGGTGAAGATCAAAGAAATCTGTGCTGCTTCAGCTTCCATTCCACAAGGCTTCAAGGAAACAGCATAGGGCCAGGCCGCTCCGAAAGCCCTGAATGGTGGCCTGAAGCAGCTATAGTGCCCTTGCTCTACTCAGTGAGATGGGGAAGGGTTTGTCATGATATTTGTATAAGAAGTTAATTCTAGGGAGCATCAAGAAAGCTCCTTAAGACCTGTTGCCTTTCCTCTTAAGTTTGATTTGATATCATCTTTTTAAATTACTAAATGAAAGCCTATAGTAAGAAAACCTCAGGTGATATGTAATTGGAATTTTGGATCTGAGGGTAAGTGGGCAATTATGGACCCATGGTTGACCACACCAGGAAGGGTTTGTGCTCTGCCAGCACAGCCTACCCTTCTCTCAGGGCACAGCAGACTCACTGGCCTGAGACATGCTATCTTAGTTCTAAAAGTTTGCTTAGGGGGAGCACAGTGTGCAGGCTTCCTATGGTAGAAATGAAGGAAAGAAGATGTCCTCTACAAACAATAATCAGTTTTTCTCAGCAAGGTGAATGCCTTGCTGGCACTGAAGTGGGTGCCAAGGGCAGCAGAAGCAAGTGTCTCTGCACTCTTGCCTGGCACCAGCCCCTCTCTCAAGCCTTTCACATGATCTCTCACTGCTGCCCTCAGTGATGAGTACTAGCATTACTCATCATAGAACCTGGTGAATGCTAGCAGCAGGATCATCTTGTAGATGAGTCCATGTGCCTAGGTAGGCTGAGGAGCTGGCCTGAGG